CCTCTTTTTTTTAAATGCTAGGTTCCTGGCTGTCATGCTGACCCTCACTGACCACGAATGGGTGCAGTTCTAGTGTTCTGACTCCATTGAGTGTATATGTGTTCTAGGTGAGCGATGCAGACAGTGTTTTTAGGACTAGAGCAATGGTAACTTGTTTCTCTCCATAAAAAAATAATTTAAAGAGGAAGCAGCATCTCTTTTCAGTGGATAGCTTTAGCCCTTTCACTGCCAATAAGGTTTTTGCACACGTTATAATCCACATTTTAGGCCTGAAAATTACTTAAAAACCCGCAACTATTATATCATTCCTGAAAGCACAGGCCCTGTAGAATAAAATGGCGGTTGCAAATGTATATGTTGCATGATATTAGGGAAACTCTATCAGACCCAGAAAATCAGCATTCAAAATGACTGATTTTAGTGCACAATAGATACCCAACAAAACAAGCTTAAAAATTGCTTGCGCCCGTAAAAGGGCAACAAAATACGGTATCACAAATTGTCCATAGGTGACGCTTTAAAAAGCCTGAGTACATATAAAATGGGCTGCAGTCCTAGAGATTTTCATTTACATTTAAGGACCTCAGCTGTGCCTCAGTCTGTCCCCCTATCTGCTCACAGACATCTATACTAATCACTAGAAGCTGCCTGTGGTGTCCTATGTAATTTAAGAAATATTTTTTAACAAATTATTTTTAGGTATGCAGCGTGAATGGGAACACATAACAAATGGTGGGAGTTTCTCAAATGTGGCTGCAAAAGTGGAAATGTGCATTAAGTTTATATGAATCAGTATCATTGCTCAATTACTGCAGTAAGAAATTCTGTTAAAAAGAGAGAATTTATTATTTATTATTATTATTATTATTACATAGTATTTATATAGCGCCAACAGCTTGCGCAGCGCTTCACAATATAAGGAAGACATTACAATGCAATTCAAGACAAGATGGTAAGGAGGGCCCTGCCCCTGAGGGCTTACAATCTAAAAGAGGAGGGAGAAATGATACATGAGGAGGTAGCTGTGTGGTGATGAATTATGTAGTAGCCGTAACGCAAACTTGTTATGTTGCACTATACGGAAACACAATTGGTGTAGCTGAGAAACTACTGGATAGAATATGTAGATCACCGAATGGTATAACTTGCTGCCAAAAATCGCTCTGTAGCCTGCCACTGCTGGGAAAGGTTTGAGAACCACAAACTGTTATTGTGCGGCAACAAATCATTATATATGGAACTGTGAAAATATTGTAATTTTAATCACCTTTCAATTTTTTTTTTACTAATGTAAATTACCTACTGTAATTTAATTTTCCAGTCAAAGAAAAATAGGATTAAACTGCGGTCCCTCTCTTCCTTAAAAGCCACTTTATTGAAAGATGCTGATAAACCGCCATCAGTACATTCTACAGTGCCAAGCTTTCTACAAGATGAGGAAGAAATCTGTGGCCATCTTGAGAGGTTATTACAGGTATTCAAATTCATGTTCTAATTCTGTTCTTTCAATAAGGACACGTTGCATGCTGTACCTCTAATATAGAGGTACAGCACTGCTACCAAAACCAACATTTCCGTTTATAGTAGAGGGTAGAAATTCGAATTATTCTACACCCATCCCAGATATTAACCAAGACATAAATGGATTGCAGGAAGCACATTATCTCGTAATTAGCGGAATGATCCAGCTTGCCAGAAAGCTTAAAGGAAGCAAAAAAACTTATAGCCTATCTCTCGGGAATAATAAAAATTACTTTGCAGTGGGGCAAGCCCTGCAATCCAAGCCTTAACTGCTCATTATTGTCTAGGGGACCTGTGTAAAAGGATTGTTACTTTGCTGATACCTGCTTCCCTGACAGTTGGCGTGCTCCTTGCCTTCCCTACGCTCTTGCTTATAGACTTTCCCTTGGCAGGCCTCTGACCACTGGAGCACAGGGGGTCACAGGCTGGGGATGCTGGTCTTGAAGCCTGTGGAAGCTGGGATCAGGTAAGTAAAAGTGCTTTAAACAGGTCCCTTAGACATGAACACGCTGTGTGGGGGTAGCCCCACTGCAGGTATTAAAGGCTAATTCCACTATTCTAGCCGAATTTGAGAAAATGGAATTACCCCCACCAATCTGCATTCTTTCCTGCTGGTTTTACCTTTGCGTGAATGGTCATTCTGCTCTGTGGCTGCCGGTGTATGATCCATTCCCTGAAAGGAAAGTTCACTGGGGGGGGGGGATTGGTGGGGGTAATTCAATTTTCTAAAATTTGGCTGGGAAAGTGGAATTGCCCTTTAAATAAAGTATTCGGATCTTTCAATAAAAGTAAACTTAAATTGAATCCAAATTTATAGTTTGCCTTTAAGCAGCAACTGTTTTGAAGAAATCCTTTGCACGATTTATTCTAGCAGTCTTCTTGGAATGTAGTTGTGATCTGTTCATTTGTTTTTCCTCCTGTCTTCAGGATGATGATGAGGAGTCAGATGATCAGGAACATTTAAAATACAAAGCTCCATCAAACAGTACATTTGGCAGAGCTGAGCAAGGCCGGCTGGAATTTGCTTCCATGTTTGATACCATCCATGCCAGTGACCACACCATGGTGAAGAGCGACATGCTTTGTGAACTGCTGCGAATCAGGAAAACTTTATTGACCGCATGGGCCACCGGAGTGACCATGAGAAATATAGCAGAATTAGACAGCCTGTTACAGTACACTGTGGGGTGCTTGACTCATTTCCTGTCACTTCTTCAGAGTCCCAATTGCCCTTCATTAAAGTCGGATAAGCCCTCAAAGGCTTCAGGAAGAGGAGACACACTGTGGTCTTACTTTGGTGTTCTACAGCAGTGTCTTACTGCTCTGTACTGGGATGTATCGCCACGGCAAGCCTTTGGACACATGATAAAACTGTCTGCAGAGGTCATCAAATTGATCCTCGTTCAGAGCAGTCAGCTATACTCGAAGAGTCTGCTGGAGGGTTTTTGTCTTTTGAAGACGGTTTCCCTAAACCTGGCTACAATTTACGGCTTAAGTTTCGAGTCTGTCCCTGCTGGTTTTTCTATGGGTGATGTAGCACATCTTGACGTTGTAAATTCTCCTGTATTTGAAGCACTAATGCAGCCATTGAAAGGCTCATCAGTATGCTATGTCTTCAAGGAACCTCCAAATGCAACGCAATGCAGGAAGTCAGAGAAAAGGTACTTGAAATGCAACAGATTTGTTTGTGTGAAGCATCTAATTCAAAACAAAAATCTCTAGTGTAATAAACCTAATAGCATTTCTGGGGATGCTGTGTTCCCTGCAACAGACTGCCTTTATTATGATTTCAAGCTCTAAGGCTCCTTTCGCACGGTCCAATTATGAGGGGATCTGTGCACAGATGCCCTGCTGAACGGAATGGATGTCACCGCTGTGACATCCGTATCCATCCAGTTTTTTTCCTCCATAGCAATATTAACAGACCCATGTTGGCTATTGAGATTTGGATATCAACAGACCTGTCCATTTACATCAGATTACCCCGATCTGGCACGTTCAGGTCCGGCGAAACCAAACGCTGTTCCGTTTCTTTTTGCGGACCTAGCCGGAGGTAACCGGACGCCAATCAATTTAGATCCTGCTGCGCATAGACTAACATTGGGCATCCGATCAGGTCCACCTGAAAAATTGACAGGCAGACCTGATCGGAGAAGTCATCTGGGGCCAGTAAGACAGTCACACAACCTGGCAATGAGGATTCTGGGAAATCTTAAGTGCAAACTGAATGCTGTTGCTTATATTCTTCAATTATTATATGCCTTTTGGATAACAAAAATGATTAGCTGTAATGTGAAATAGAATTTTTTTTTTAGAACATTATACTTTATTTTTTTAAAACTAAAATAGAGCTTTCTGGGTTCATAAACAGCAGTAATAATCCTTTCAATCAAACATCAAGGATGGAGGAGGGGATTAGTCACGGTTCAAGCACATTTAGCCGTGTGACTAATTTGAGCTTCAGCTATTTGTCCCATGTTCACCAGAGCAGTTAAAAGAGAACTATGGGGTAACCTTTTTATCCCATAGTTCTCTTAAGGGTTACGGGAGGACATATACTAACCTCTTCCTGTGACCCAAAGCTCAGTATATAGCGAGCTATAGCCCGCTATATGCTGAGAGTGCCACAGCTGGGACGGATCTCTACAATACTGTTGAGATCCACCCAGCTGGCTGATTGACAGTGGGTTGTGCTTATCTAGAGGCAGAGCCAGCTGTGTCCACCCCCTCCCCCGTCGCTGGAAGATCGGAGAGGGGAGGGGGGAATCCCTGCGGGGAGTGGTGACTGACAGTTACCACTCTCTGCAGGGAGATAATCGGGAAGTGAGCGAGCGGCGGTATGTGTTCACTCTCTTCCCGATCAATAGAGCCGATGTGTGACAGTTTCACTATCGCATGTCGGCTCTAACTATGATGATGAGTGATTTTCACTCACCTCATAGTTCTCCTTTAAGGTTAGCCCTGTAAATTTGTGTAAAGATGAAAATAAATCTAGAGCTCTATTTGCTGGCTGCCAATACTACATTTGAGATATTCATATGCATATCCTGATATTTTTTTATTTTGGACATACAAAAGTTAATACAAAACACTACGTTACTTCCCTTTTTAAAACAACTTAAAGGAGAACTATGGGGTTAAGGCTTTTCCCCATAGTTCTCCTTAGGGTAACGGGAGGACACAAACTAGCGTCCTCCCGTCACCCTAGGCTCAGTATACCGCGAGCTGTAGCTCGCGGTATCCTGGGGCGCTGCAGTATACCGCGAGCTGCTACTCGCGGTATACTGAGACGCTGAAGCGGATCCCGACAATTATGTCTGGATCCGCCCAGCTGCGTGACTGACAGCTGGCTCTGCCTATCTAGAGGCAGAGCCAGCTGTATCCTCCCACGTTCGTTCCGCCAGTCAACACTGGCGGAGGGGGGAATCCAGCCCCTCCCCTGTCACGGCAGAGAGCCGTGACAGGATCGAGAGGTGATGCAACGCCGGTATGTGTTCGCTCACTTCCCGATCTACTGAGCCGACCTGTGACAGTCTCATTGTCACAGGTCGGCTAGAACTATGAGGTGAGTGAAAAGCACTCACCTCATAGTTCTCCTTTAACTCATAAGGAAATTTGGAAGAGGTGTAAGCTGCCTGAACTATTAAAAACTGTACATTTTTTATAGGGATTTCCAGATACCGGTGCAGATACTTGACATTTTCATGAGAACTATCAGGGTTGCAGAGGTTGCAGCTGGGACCTGGCTCTGGCGCTCCACCACTATCCTGAAATCATTAGTCTGTATTTTTTTAGAAAAAATCTCACATGACAATAAACAAAAATGTATCAGTACTTGTGTCTGTGAGTACTTGGACAAGTATCAGTACTTGTACTTGGAAAAAAAAAAAAGGTATCGGTGCATCCCTTATATATATTTATAAAAAAATTAAAATAATGCATTAACATGGGGATGTATAAATCCCAGGAACCCCGTAGCCAATGCTCCTTAAAAATGACAGCTGCCTCCTAACTAACTTTTGAATTTTTCTCTAGCCTAGTGCTGGAACTGGAAAAGTATTTGTACTTGTACCGATTATGGTACCTGGTGTCTGAACATCCCTAATTTTTGGGGAATTTAAAAAACAAAAAACTAGCACCATTGTGTTACAAGATATGTAAATCCTAATTGCAGCTTTTTACGTGTATTCTTGATCATTGTGCATTGCAGACTGGCTGTGCTATGGAGACTGTTGTATAATCAGACCCTATGGTATCAGGCACGCTTGAGAAAGCAGATGTCTTTGAATCAGTCCATGCAGTTGTCACCTGAAGTTCAAAGTGAGGAAAAGGCCATTGTGTCACTGTTGTGTCACATACAAGCTGAACTGCAAGCTGCAAACCAACATCTGAGCCTGAGCTTGTCTCTTCTCCCTGTAACTGGTAATGCAGATTTTTGTTTATTGTATGTTTGTGAATGTGATTTTATATCCAAAAACATTATAATACTCAAAAGTCTGTTGACACCTGACCATCACACCTATTTTATGGTTTAAAGTAGAATTGAAGGCAAACCTTTTGGGGGTTTTTTTGTTTTTCCCTTTAAATTCTTTAACTAAAATTCAGGAACAGCAAGAGAAAGTTAACATACAAGTGAAACAATAAAACAAACATTGCACAGATATTCACCCCAAACCTGATGGATACGTCATTGAAATTAACCCAACTCTTGTGAAAACTGCGATTTAACAATAATCTGTCCCCGAACATTTTCACTTTTATATTTAAATCACAGAAATGCAAGAGAGTCAATATTATTATTAAAGGGAAAATCCCAAAACTATCCAGCAAACCAAACAAGGTGCAATGTGCGCTAGCAGATTTAAAAATAGAAAAAGGTAGAAAAGAGAGAATAGCAACCAGGAGCAGAAAAGAGGGGGGGGGGGTGTATACCAAGAGACACGGCAGGATCCCAGGTCATAAAACACGCCATCGCAGAGGCCACAGAGCATGGAGAGCTTCTCATGTAGCACAAGACGGACCTGTCAGCTTTTTTTTATTGCCATCTCTGCCCCCCTGGGCAGATTCTTCCCTTCACTTCCTGTCTGATAGCCACAACAGGAAATCCTCCAAAGTGAGGGAAATCTCCAGAATTACAGTCTCCATTGGAAGAGTTCCCTTCTATGGTATTCCTGTTCTGATGAAAACCCAATATCTGGGATTTTCTGTCACTTCCAGTGACAACCAGGGCACAAGGACAAATAGGGAGGGTGGATTTGCTTAACGGGGGACACAGACAGCAATAAAAACTTGACAGGTGTTCTCTTCCCTGTCCACTCCATACAAATGTAGAAAACATTTTTTTGGATCAGTTCCGATTTAATTAATGTGGACACCCTTCCAAATTGTTGAGCTCAGGTGTTTCAAGGGAAGGGTACTGTTAATGCTACAGCATACAAAGGCATTAGTTTGGTGAAGTCCCTTTTCTCTTCCAGCTTGACTGTGCTCCCATGCTCAAAGCCAGCTCCATAAGGACATGGTTTTGATGTGGAGGACTTGAGTAGCTCTGACCTCAACCCCACTGCTACAGTGTATATAAACCTGTTTAAGGAAAGGCCTTCACCTGCAGTGTTCATGCTTCCTCCTTCATAGGACCAAGCGTACATGTTTGTCCAAAATAATTAGAAATAGAGAGTGGTAATAACAGAAGGAAACACAAGACAAGTAATGGAATCAATGACACGGCGATCACATGGTGTTCAATCCACTGCTAGTTCAGTATCTCCAAAGGTTGTTGGGATTAAGGAACACACCAAACTTTTTATTATCTTAATCTGCTCAAAAGTTATGAATATTTATATGTAAGGATGCACCTATATATCGGTCGCCGAAGCATATCGGATGAAAATGGCACTTTTGGCTAAGTGCCAAAAGTGCTATTTTTTCTGCCAATACATCGGCCCACCCGTGCTTTCTCTCCTCCCCGCTGGGCGCTGCTTTGTGTCCCAGTGGGGAGGAAAGAAACTGTGACAGCCGGCCGAGCGCTGCAGGGGGAGAGCGCTGTGAGTGGCCGGCGTCTCTCCTCCCACACCGCTCAGCCTCCTGTCACAGTCCGGCAGAACGGTGTGTGGGCGGAGACGGCCAGCGCTGTCACAGGAGGCTGAGCTCTCCTCTCCCTGCACCGCTTGCTCAGCCTCCTGTGACAGCTGTCAGAAAGGAGAGCTAGTGCAAACACTTAGTGATCGCTGAGCGTAGATAATTGAGGACATTGTATGGTTACTATATCCTCAATTATGAATTAATGGGAAGTGAGCTACATCACCTCCTGTTCATTCATGATTGTGGATATAGTAAACTTAATCTGTTCTCATGTCATGAATGAACAGGAACACTCAGTATAGAGGATTCCTATTCATAACAGGGGCTGCAGAAAAAGAGATTGAGGACTCTGTGTCCTCAATCTCTTTTTTAAAAAAAAAGGGAAATATCAGGTGTCTGTTTTAGATCCCCAAAGCCCCTAAAAGTGAAGTAAAAAATAAAAATATTTAATAAAAAATGAATGAATAAATAAAAAAAATTAAAACGTTTAAAAAAAATAAATTTAGATAAAATATTTGAAAAAGTAAAAAACATTTTCGGTTTTGTCCTGACAATTTGTTTTATTTCGGTTTTGAAATTTCCATTTCGGTGCACCTCTATTTATATGTATTTGTTTTAAATAGATTTTACGTTGAAATCCGTATAAAGGTGATTTGTTTTTTCTTTTGTTTTTTTTAAGGTGAAGAATATTTCTTGTTTGGATCATATAAGGAGTCGGTAGAGTTCTGGAAGAGAGAGTTACTGGAAGCCAGTCTTCAAGGTAAATTTTATAGCCTATGTGCATGCAAATTGTAAAATTTTCTTGGATGTAATACTTTGTGAATATTTTAACCTACTTACCTGCCTGCTAAATTAATTGCACGGATACCAGTAGTGGCGAACATAGACTGCTGAGCCCCTCATACCTCCACTTGCGCACACTGACCCAGCTGCCCAGCTTATCTGTGTCCTGCAACGTTTTTCCATTTACTGTATTCAGCAGCAATTCCGCCCTCATATTTTAGACACAACACTTGGCGCAGACTGGCGCAATTCTCAAAACCCAACTTCAGTCAATTGCTTTTTCTAACTTTGCATAGAGCTGGAAAGGGTTAGAACCTTTTCAAGGTTTTTTTGGGGTCTGTGTCCCTGTTAACATTTTCCCTCACTTCCTGTGTGCTCATGAAGAAAGGAAGTGAGCAGGATCTTTTTTAGGATCTTTTTAGTAGTGTGGGTTAGAAGCTCCTTTTAGGTTTTATTGCTATTTTCTGTGTCCATTGAGGAGGGCTTTTTTCTCTTATTCTATGCACATGTTGGAAGCTAGTGAGGGGAACTCTCCTCAGTAGGAATGCAGACAGCAATAAAAATCTGACAGAGGTTGTAACCCCCCTTCTGTCTGTCCAGAAAAAGCATTTTGGGTGGAGTTGGAGTTTAGATGATCAGCAGTAAACACGTTCTGATGGAGCTCCCTTTATTCTTCTGACCTTCTGTAGAATAGAGCAGACAAGCTGTACGTATAGTCCCATCACTGGAGCCATTTTTAAAAATGAATTTTATTTTTTATCCGATTAACCGATTAATCGAACTTAATAATCGGCTAACTAATCGATTTTGAAAATAATCGTTAGCTGCAGCTCTACGGCTTTTATTGCGCTTCACGCCTCCAGCAAATCTCTGGAGCTCCTTTTGTAAATTATATACTAATAGTTTACAATACCCAGTGAAGGAAACCTGGATGAAAAGTGCAGTTCAACCAATCAGATGTTAATTTAAAAACTAAAGCTGGATTGGTTGTGTAAAAATAAGTCGTTTGTCTCAGTAGTCTGTCAGTCAGCCACCTGTGTAAGGTCCTTTGCAGGGTACATGCAGTCAGAATACATTTTATTCCCACATGCGATGTCTGTTAAAGAATTGTTTGTATTGTGGTCTAGGTGGAGTTCGAGCTGGGTTACTCCAGACACGTTATTACTTGGCAATGCTTTATTGTCACTTATATCACTACAATTTAAATGATGCGCAAGGCCTCTGCGACCAGCTGGTGAAGGAGCTGCTGCTTCGATCAGAACTGCTGGCAGAGACAGAGAACGGTAAGATTACTGTTGGCACCCTTTCTGTAAGTGTATCTGTAGTACACAAAGCTGACGGCTCTCAGCATCATCAGTGTTTTATTTGTCTATTTAGTTGGCGAGGAGTCTGATGAACGACTGTTGAAGAAGATTCATCCAGAAGCAGCACTGGCTGTCATCCAGTCTATGGGGAGATTCATGGTCGCATATTTCACTAACCAGCTGCTGTATGTTTTCCCTCCACATAATGTCTGTGTTCTTGCACCTCTGCATATCACAATAGGTGGGTCAAGTTATAAGTGTACTTATTTCATTTTTTCATTGGTCAATACTATAAGTAGAAGGTTCAAGTAAGGTTCTTAAGGGGACAATTTGACAAGGCTGATAAGCACTAGGACACATGGGCAATGCCAGAATTTGTCAGGAGTCGATGATCACAAAAAATGTATTGTTTTTACCCTGAAGACTACCACTACTGTCATTTTAATTGTGAAAATAATTGAAAAGTTTTGCGATCTGGGACCCATGGATCACACATCTGCCTGTGAACTTTGACCACCCTCTTTAACACTGACTGATATATTAGCAGCTGAATGGCATTTACGTACACTTGTGCAAGACCTTCGACCATATACATTTGAATACCTATCCCACCAATCCCCTAGCTTTTAACACCCCCAACCCCATTTCCTCTCTTAAGCTTCTCTTCTTCACTTTCTTGACTTCTCACACCTCCCCTTTCTATTTTCTCAGGTACATCACCACCCCTCGCTTTCGCCTAACAATTACAAATGTGTCTTATCTTAACGTATCTTCTGACGGCTACCATTAGGCATACAATAATGGTTATCAATGGTATGCCATGAGTATTTCATCTCTTATTATTTTGGACTCACTGTTTCCATCATAGGTTTTTTTTTTTTTTTATTCTTTATTTAGATCCGCAAAGGACAAACAGGAAAGATATAACAATTTATCATGTAGAAAAGTAGTAAAAACACAAAACGGTAGACAAAAAAATATAGCGCACAACAATTCAGAAAACATCCTCAATGAAAACGCAAGATGCAGAAATGTCATAGTGCACTAGATCGTCGTAATAGCTTTTTAGTTTTTTTTTTTCCAATTGTACACTGCGACGTGTTACTCAGCTTCATTAAGAAAACACTAAAGCAGAAAATAAAAAGTTATGCAGTAGAACTAATTCTGTATGTGCATATTTCACAGATCGGTTTCCGAGAGTTGTTACTTTACAGCACAGCGTGGTTGCCAGTGCAGTCAGAGATCAGAACCTCTCCAGTGTCTGGACAGTAGAATATGCTCTAGACCTGCTTTTGATTGGTGGATTGATACCAGAGGCTGCATGGCTGGCAAACAAGCTGGGAGACTGGAAGATGTCTGTTTCTATGGCTGTGGCCTACAACCAGCATCTGAAGAGCATTCCTGATGAGTAAGTTCCCTGTTCTCTGGGATACCGGGGTTAAATTCTTAAAGCCTTACTGAAATTTTCAAAGAAATCGATATATATCTAAATTCAGTATGCAGCCAGTACTAATTGTCAAATATCCTACCTTCTTTAAAGCCCAATTTAACTCTCTTTTCTCCAATCATCTTCCAGGCCAGCAACCTGAGAGATGATTGGCTCCTCCTTCAACAGGAAACACAATTTTAAAAGACAGTTAAATACCCTCCCCACCACATCATACCTCAGTTGTTTTGTGTTTCCTACTGTCCAGGAACCTCGTCACGTTTTGTTTTTTTCTCCTGACCGGTCGGCCTTGTGGTCGCGGGTCTCCCCGATGTGTGGCTCTGTGTGCAGATTCCCCCCTCCCCGCTCCGATCCGCCAGCTAACTGGCGGAACGGACGTGGGAGGGGCGGGTACAGTTTGTGTCCTCCCCTTACCCTAAGGAGAACTATGGGAAAAAGCCTTAACCCCATAGTTCCCCTTCAAAGCAGTCACTGCAGAAAATGCTGTTCCCTGCCAGCAGGCTGCAGAGAGGAACCAATGCTCTGTGTTCAAGCCATGGTCTTTCTGCAGTGATCCAGCACTGTCAAGTCAGAGCTAGAGCTCTATAGTAAACAAAGCTCATGCTCTCTGCTGATTGGAGAGCTCTAGCTCACACACGGAAGGGGGTGTGTCTGGCCACTGCAGAGAGACTGCTGCTTACACACGGAGAGCATTGGACCCTGAACCATTTTACTGCACCCAGAGTATATAACATTTAAAATGAGTGCCCAGTTAGACTTAAAAAATTTAAAGTATTTTTGAAATGTACCTCTATTAACATTGACCGTACTGTATCACAGGATATTGCATCCTCATTTTCTTTATTTGATAATAATAATACAGAAAAAAGAAAATGAACTCCACTCTAAACAGCCGTGGTTCCATGCGGCGTGCATAGTATTGGTAAATAAATAAATCTTTATTTTTGTATTTCAGAAGTAAAGAAAATTTGCCATCCATGCCCTTGTATCTGTCCCTAGCGCACATTTTTCAAGAGAAGTTACAGTCCTACCTGGGTCAACCTCCACATTTAGACGGCTTGGAAAAGAAGAACATTGAAACAAAACAATTTACTGGTACATACCGCCCTGCGTTCATGTTGTACCTGTTAAAGCCTGAGTATCTATTTGTCATAAACTATGCAAATATTAGAGGGCATATGGCAAGTTCAGAGGGCCAAAACACTCAAACTAACGGTATTAATTTAATCAAGAGTAAATATTTGCCTGCCGCTCCTATAAGGCTTCTAAAACACCCAACAAGATAATTTAACAGCAAAGCCCTCTTAATAGCAGAGATGGCTCGGACTAAGAGCCAACAAATTCATAATGAAAAAAATACAAAACGTCACATTTAATTGTATAGATTAGGGATGCACTGATATATTGGCGCCGAAACATATCGGCTGAAAATGGCACTTTTAGCATAATGCCGAAAGAGCCATGTTTCGGCCGATACATCGGCGCATCCCTGGTTTCTTTTTTCCCCGCTGGCCGCTGTTCCAGCGGGGAGAAAAGAAAGTGACAGCCGGCCGAGCGCTGCAGGACGAGAGCGCAGTGAGCGGCCGGCGTCTCTTCTCCCACTATCACAGTCCAGCCGCCTATCAGAGTCCAGCAGAGCGGTGTGGGGGCGGAGACAGTGCTGTCACAGGAGGCTGGGCTTTCCTCTCTACACCGCTCGACCAGCCTCCTGTGACAACGTGTCAGAGAGAAAAGCAAGGTACACACACTCAGATCAGTGATCGCTGAGTGTGTGTACATAATTGAGGATATGGTATGTTAACTATATCCTCAATTATGAATGAATGGGAGTGATCTCCATGTAGATGTATTAAGACATATATGCACAATAATATATTCTCTATATTGCAGCACCCCAGCCAGATAAATAGATTAAAAGATTTAAATACGGGATCCTGGTAATTGTAACCTTGATAACTCTTTCTTGTAATATTGAGTGTAATATTGAGTAAAATCAAACAAGTCCATGTGTGACTAAAGCCAGTTCAGAGATAAAAGCTTGTATCAAGATGTATCAGGAGAAATACTTTTTCATATGGATCTCCATCGTGTAATAAATATTCATTTATCCCCTTTGTTATCCCTCTTCGTGTAACAAAGCTCAGACAACTTAACCCCATGTATGCAGAGGTCTTGTTGGAAATATTGCAGTGATAAAGCGTTCTTGCGTAATCATACAGTGCTTCATATGAATGAATCGATTCCAAGATTTTGATGATCAACAGAACTATAGTGGCTGTGAGAAATATGGATATAGCTGTTGATCATCAAGGGGGAGCTCATACATGGCACTACAGCTGCAACCAACTGATCGATTAATCGATAATAATCCATCATGAGAATAGTTGTCAACTATTCTCATTAACCATTAGTTGGTTGGATCCCCTATCTCTCTCCTCTATGCTGGGAGGTGGGCACAGCAAGTTGTGGGTGGGTGCAATAGCCAGCCTACTATTGACTATTGCAATTTAAAATGGCCAATAGCAGGCTCGATATTGCACCAGCCCACTACCTGCTGTATTTACATTCAGCTGCCCTCTGCGGAATCTTACCACTGACAAATTCTGTTGCGGGAGGTGCGTTGTAGTGCCAATTATTTCAATGGCACCCCAAACACGCCTCCCACCCACAGTGTGATCATCCGCACTGAAACGCACGGTACCGCAATGCTGTGTGTTCCAGTGCAGTGTGATTGCAAAAAAGTGTGCATGCAGTTTTATTCTGAAGTGAACTTTATGTTTGTAACACTGCATTTGTGTAATTTTATTTTAAATTAAGGATGGTATTTATTTATTTTTTATCCAATTAATCGGAAAAATTATCGGCCAACTAATCGATTTATAAAAATAATCATTAGTTGCAGCCCTACATGGTACATGAGGAAGAGCATGTTGGGGAAGCCTAGCCCACCTAATCTCAACACATGGAAGGCATGTGCTATGATGGACGCTTATGAGCCATAACTTATGAACCAGTCAGATGGGTTTCCCGAAGAAGCACTCTGCGGGGTTTGATCTGTTTAATTTGGTTGAACTCTAATGGGTGTTTTGGGTGTTCCAAGTCAAGAGTTTAGGATTGGTTGCCACAGGCACCTAAGTGTAAGATCAGTGATAGAATAAGGCCCCAGAGGGTCAGCTAACATAGTTCAGTTCTTATTTAACATAAAACATTCTTGGACAAAATCATCTATTAGTTCATGAGTTTTTGTCCCTATTTTCCTTGTGTGAGGATAGTTGAAGTAGTAGTAGTAGTAGTCCCTATGTCCAATACCTTTTTATAAACAGTATTACCTGGGGCCAAGCATATGTTGCATATTTGGTGAATAGTTTGAACTCTTACCAACTATCCTGCCAAGATATGGTAGAATTTGTCATGTGTGTGTATTTGTGTCAATTCCTCCATTAAATGAATCTGGTCTATCTTTTTTTTTAAATCTATTCTTTGATCAACAGAGGTTAATTTGTTCTTCAATACCTGGGAATTATACAAACAAAACTTGAGTTTTAATTTCTCCCTACTCTGTCCAAAACATAAAAAGATATACATACATTTTCAGCCTGTTGAATGCTCCCTAATGCCCTAGGATGAAACAATAGATTGAGACATTAGGTTATGCAAAGTGTACTAAGGGTTACATCTATAAGGTGCCCATAATGTTGCTTGAAAAACAGATACCACACATATACAAAGCACAGCAATCCAAAGTTGGTAGAGCTCAGTGCAAATTCAATAATGAATTTGAAAAGCCTGGAGGAGAACTCTGTGCGGTCCCACCATCTCCACACTGGGTCTGACATTTTATGATGGGCTGTAAAATGCAGCCCTTGCTTTGCGTAGTTGAGTAGGTTATTTCAGAGCAGGCAGTGTTATCCAATATCCTTTAAGAACTGCCTCTGAAATTTGTTTTTATTATTGCCATTTTTCAGATCCCATTGAGGAAGAAGATGCAGATGTTCTGTTCAACTCGGTGCAGGAGATGTTAAAGGCTGCTGTAATGGCTGATGCAGAAATTCTAACTGAAACCCTTCGTCAGCTGATGGAGTCAGCCAAAGAGCTCGCCAGGAAGCTGCCGGGTCTTGTTCCAGAGCGTCTCTATCTGCCAGCACCACCGTTGTACTGCCCCCAGCCCTCGTCAGTTAGTGAAGTAAGGGTTTGTCCTTCCTGAGCCCTGCTTACTTCAAAGCTCACCACCTGTTAAAATCTGACTATACAATTTTCTTTACATCTACCAACAACTATGTAGATCATAAGCCTGCCTAGTTGGATACAGGTGGAATGGATAGTTAAAATAGATCCCCCTGTTACATTGATTTAGTAAATCTAAATAAGAAATGCAGTCAGACTGGAAAGGTTGAGCTTTAGAGAGTGAGAGTAGACCTATCTACTCATATGGTGAGGGTGGTATCTGATGTAAAATGAAATTGCCATTGAAGAAAAATCAATCGTACACTAATATTTTTAATGTCTGGTACTAGAAAGAGGCACCGCGATATATCTTTACAGATGTGGACAAATTTGTTGCTACCCTTACAGCTCATTGAAACAATGCTTCACTCCTGAAATTAACAGCAATTGTCTCATGTATACCTACATGCCTTTGGTATGTCAGAGTAAAGCAAAGAAAGTGTGAAAAGAGATCAATTACCGGTATTGCTTATACAAACATTCTAAAATGGTCTGGACAGATTTGTTGGTTCCTCTAGAAAAGACACTGAACTTGGGCCAGAGAAAGCAAAGGAGATTGTTTTCTGAGGAAATCTGAAAGAGTTTTATAGACCAGCATGTCAAAGGTAAAGACTAATAGACCATCTTCCAGAATCTTGATGTTCTACAATTGCAAATATATCTGATGTGGCCACCAGAGAAAAATCGACCCCAGATTGAACAAAATGATAGTGTGAATTGTAGGCAAAGCCAAAGGGAAACTTCAAAAGAGATGCAAGCTGAACCTCAATGTCAAAGTACATCCGCAGCTTTTTGAGCGACGGTGAGCTCAGAGAGACTCCACTGTTTAAAGAAAAGGCAAGAATTTGCTAAAATGCCTATTGGCAAGCCACAATACGAGAATGAATGAGACAAAACTGGAGCTTTTTTGCAAGTCTTCTCAGCTCTAAAAAAATGAAGACGCAAAAAGAAAAAAAAAAGTAAAGGACACTGTACCTACTATGAGTCGTAGAGGAGAATAAGTTGTGTTTGAATGCTGTAGAGGAGAATAAGTTGTGTTTTGAGGCTGTATTTGGCACATGGTGCCTTCAGTCTATGCAGGGCACAACGAAATCTCAAGACTATAATGGAATTTTAGAGGAAAATGTACTAACTAGTGTCTGAAAGCTCTGTCTCAGTTGCAGGTCATCAGTCCCCTTACAGGATAATGACCCAAAAATGTAAATACATTTTTTTTAATCATATTTTATTCTTTGTCTCATCTGTCCACTCCCCCCCCCCCCCCCCTTTTTTTTTACATTTCTGTAAGCATTTCACTGCATATCATACTGTGTTCGATTATGTATGTGACTAATTAAAAAATCTGAATCATAACACACTGTACCCAAGAATGGCTCAGGGCAAAGGTCTCATTGAGAGCTACAGAAATAGCTTGTTTGCAGTGATTGCCTGGTTCACACCTAGGCAATTTTGAGCAGTAGAAAAATTGCTTCAAAACACCCAACACAAAAATTCCCATAATTTTTAATGGCCTCTGTTCACATCTGAACAGCAAAACGGAGAAAAAAAGTACATGAGCTTCTATTGGCAGTTTGCAGCTCGTTTTCCCCCCATAGACTTCAATGGAAACACCAGGAAGCTCGTGACAGTACGTCCATTGATCGCAAAGTTTTTTAAGATGCCAATCAAAATGTGCGTGTTCATGTGTGCGCGTAAAAAAAACCTTAGCTGAACCTGTACAAACGCGCTAAAATGTTGAAGCCTTGGTCTGAACGGGGCCCAAAGGTTGTGCAACAAAATAATAGGTTAAGGGTCCCATCATTTTTGTCCAAGCTATTTTTATTTGTTTTATTATTGCAAATAATCTGTCGAATCAGGAAAAAAAAGCAAAGTCTCATTTTTGGGTTCTTATTTTTTTGTGAAAGGATACAAATTTGTCCATGTCTGTATATAATACCATAAAGGTACCAACAGTTTTTTTCAGAATTGTGATTTCTGACAGTGATCTTATATTATTTAATGAGCACATGAATGGAGCAAGGCAGTAAAGCAGAAGTTGGGTCCCCCAAAATCACTGGTTATTTTATAATGCTACTTATGTTCACCATGTGTCGAATGTAGGCTGAAAATTCTTTAAGCAGACAATATGCATGTCTCCGCCCACTATTCTAAAATTAGGTACAAATTCCTTTTATTTTGTATTTTACTTGAGACACGTAGGTCCTTTCTGTTTTAAGAAGAATTGACTGTGCTTCACACTGGTTTAGTGGAGGGCTTTTCTTTCAATGAAGGCTTCCTCTAGGCTTGGGTAAGAAACCAGAAACTGGCTATGACTTGAATTCTCTCTTATGTGGTAGCTTTCTGTTGTTTGCAAGTCTTATTGCTGTACAATACCATCACTGGCTTAATCAGTCACTAAGATGCTGTTAAGGTTTTACGTCTGACCCTACTTCTATTTTTTACTGGTTTTTAGGAGGACCCAAGTGATTTGCTTTTACAGATGGAGAAACTGAATCGACAGAAACTATCTGGGGTTCTTCAGAGAATCCTTTTACTGTTGCGGGCAGCACACTGTTCCCTTCCTGCTGCTCAGTGGTACATCAAGCAAATAAAAAGAGCAAGAAAAATCATGCAGAAGGTTCTATTTTCTTTTTTATACCTCAACCTTAGTCTCCGTTCACATGTACGCATTTTGTTGTTTAAAGGTAACAGCTCTAGACAAGAAATCCTATTCCCTCAAGACGAGGCATCACAATCGTTTCTATGGCCCCTGTTCACACCTGAGCATCTTGTCGCAAGAAGAAAAAAAAAAACGCCTGTCGCTGCAAAAAGTACATGAGCTACTTCTTGGCAGATTACAGAGCTTTCTGGTCCCATAGACTTTAATGGGACAAAAATACGCTCAGTTGTGAACAGGAGCCATAGAAAGGAATGGGATTCCTTGTCTTGAGCGTTTTGTCATGCTTTGCTTGAGCGACCAAATGCCTATTTGTGAACAGAAACCTTATGGATTTATAAAGTGGCTGTTAGAGTATGTAGAACTGTATTCATTATTACATCATTTAATATGTTTACCCCTTCGTGACGGGAGACGTACAGTGTACGTCCCGGCACTTTCTGCCTATATGACTGGCCACGTACACCAGCTTTGTAATGCTGGTAACAGCTGATTCTCAGCGGTTACAAGCCATTAATGAATGTCCCAGTATTGAGGCATTCATTAATGAAATAATTAAGCTTTTTGTAAAAGCTTCTTCCTTTCAGTAATGAAAGAATGAAGCCGTTACATGCAAATACAGGAGCGCAATTTGCAATCCCGTATTTGACAGCTGAAAATAGCAGAGAGGTAGCAGTGACTCACCTCTCTGCTATTTGTTTTGACAGCTCGCTTGAGAGCCAGATGTTTAGATACATTTCACTCAAAAGATGCAATGTATATCTTTTGAGTGAAATGTATCAGTTCTGATCGTCTATGCACGATCAAAGAGCTTTTAGTGAGATCTGAATCTGACTAAAGTCAGGATCAGTCTCTAAGGTTATTATTAGCTGTCTAATAGCCAAAACATTTTTCAAAAAGTTAATTTATCAAACAGTCATAGTGATTGCTTGATATAAACTGACAAGAAAAAAAAATAAAAATTAAATTTATTTTTTTACAAAGTGTAAAAAAATTTAATAAAGTGTAAAACAAAATTAGGAAAATAAAAATCATATATAAATATATTTGTTGTACTATAATTAATATAAAAAATTATAAATAATAATCAAAACTTGTGAAAAAATAGTTTTCTTCTAGTTTTTTTCCTCATTTTTTTTATTTTATTCAAACTAAGTGAGGGGTTAGGTACACATATGTGATATAATTATATAGCCCTATTTGTCCTCTAAAAAACAATATATAATATGTGTAGGTACATTTAGTAAGAAAGTATATTACTGCTGTGGAAGCAAAAATGTAAAAAGTGTGTCAGTCATTTATGAACAGAAACTGAAAACTAGCTCAGTCATGAAGGGGTTAAATACAAGCAGTGTAAGTACCTAAATATGGCCTGGTATCAGCCTTTTGCAGTCCCTGTACAGCAGAGTAATCTCATTATATATATTGCAGGCATGTACCTAATCATTCTTATAGAATGTGCAATTTAATAATTTTAATAGGCTAAGGACAGTTTGTTCCACAAGATTCCATTTCACTACAGCGTAATACATTTAAAAAGACATTATCAGGATCTCTGTATACAAAAGCATAACATAAATACAGTAACCTAATGGATAACCAATCTTAGCTGGGTCATTTATTTCTGTGTGTTGGCTGTACAGGGTAGAATTTTATAAAAGCTACAACATTGGGCAAAATGTTTACCTTTCCTTCTATTTCAGATTCGTGCTAAGGGTGCCTTACCTCCTCTCAGTCCACTTCCAGAAGCTTTGCTAAATTATGCAAATGGCAGGACTGTGTTTCTCAAGCCAGGAGCTAGTGGAGATCTTGTATCCTCCAGTGTAGTAGGTGAGTTTGGGTCAGTTATTGTGAACGGTTGTAGTAATAAACTGTTCCTCTGCATCCATGGTGATGTTAAAGAAAGATAGCCAATTTGTGGAAATCATTATATATGCAGCCTGTATACAGTCTGTACATTGTTCCTTAGTCAAACATGCGCTAAAGAAATTCCAAGCTGCCATTGCTTCTTCTGAAATGCTAGTTTCTCGTCAGTCTCTGGCTGCAGCACTTTTGAGCCCCTGCCCTGGCAAAAGCTGCAGATGAGGATAGTCTGAATGAAGTTGGGGCTTCTAATCGGCATACTTGTTTTGGTTGAGTAACTCAGAAAGTTAGTATGGCACTCAGAGAAGTGTTATTTTGGGAGTGTTCGACAGAAGTGTTCCAGGACCTTTGTCACAGTACCTTTGTCACAGTTGGAAGACTCTGAATGTGGACATCCTTGCCTCCCAGGTTCAACTGGACAGGTTTGTCTTCGGATACAGGGCTCCTCTAGCAGCAGAATAGGATGCTTTGGTAGCTCCAGGGGTCAACACACCCTGATCTATGCATTTCCTCCTCGGAAACTTCCTGGTCATGTTTTACAGGATTGAGATGGAGAGCATTCCGGTGCTGGTCATTACTCCAAACTGGACCAGTTGTATGTGGTATGTCAAGCTGGTAAAACTCCAGGCAGATACACCGTGGGCTCTCTCGAATTGTCAGCATCTTTTGTCCCAAGGACCATTATGCCATCTTACTTCACAGTTGCTGGCTTTAACGCCATTGTTGTTGAAGCTGTGGTGTGTTTTGAGTCAGGAGCATCTCTGAATTTGTGTCTTCTACAATGCTAAAAGCTAGGAAGTCTACTTCTATAAGGTCTATATTCGGACATTGAAGGCATAATTCACTTAGTGTGAGTCTTGGGGATCCCACCCTAGGAGTTTCAAGGGCCAAATTTTTTTCCAAGTCTTTTTTTTGTTTTCAGAGATTGTTGGTCTTTCAGTTCTTGATTTAGAGATTTGTACAGGGAGTCGTCCATATAGCCCCTCCCCTTGTTCATTCCCCTGTGGGATCTGAACCTGGTTCTCTCCATGTTTCAAAGATCACCATGTGAAACCATTAAAGATATTCCTCTTTCTACTCTCACCCACAAGGTCGTATTTCTTGTAGCCATCACCTCTTCGAGGCGAGTGTCAGAACTGGCGACCTTATTCTGCAAGAACCCTTTCTAGTTGTGCAATGGGACAGGACATCATTCTTCCTTCCCTCTGCCCTGCTCCAGTTCACCAAAAGGAAATATCCTTCCATTGTCTGGATGTGGTTTGTTTTGTGAGAATCTGTCACCCTCACCCACTGCTTTTTCAGGAAGACTTATCATGTTTTTGTTATCCTGGATGGTCACTATAAGGGTACATTGGCTTCTCGTTTTACCATCTCTAGGTGACTCAGACCATGGTTCAAACGCATGGTCTCAAGGGTCGTGTTCCACCCATTGCTGTTATGTTACACTCTATTAGATCTGTCAGTGCTACTTGTCCTAGTTTGCAAGGCTACAACCTGGTGTTATGTTTTTTAAGCTCTATCAGGTGAATATTTAGGCCTCATCTAATGTCAGCTTTAGGAGTTCAGTTCAACAGGCAGCTCTTTTTAAGCAGCAGGCAGTCCCCAGTTTTTTGTTTTTTTCTTGGGTCTCTTTGAGCCTTTGTTACTATGTTGACAACCTCTCTGTTGAATTGCTTTGGACATCCAGACGTTCTAATAATTCCTATGTCCCTGAATGCATGAGAAAGAAAATAGGATTTTTGCACTCACTAAAATCCTTATCTTGGAGTCCTTTATTGGACACAGGTCACTCCTTTTCTGTTTTTACTGTCATGCTCTTGATACCACTTTGCTACAAAACTGAGGCATGATGGTTGTGGGTGAGGTTATCCTGTGCTGGTCAACAGTTTTTTCTCTTGTTGCCAGTGTCCAGTTTTCCTTTAGGTGGTAGTATAACCAAGCTGTCTAAGAATTCCTGTGTCCCCCTGTGGACTCCAAAAGATTTAACAGTGAGTAAAACAATCCTTTTTTTGTAAGCATATTACATTGTGTCATTTGCCTTTGTTGTGTAGTATGACATTTTACAGTTAATGCTTCATCAGTGTTGTTTTACAGACTCAGGTGTATTTAGTGTCAAATGTCTCTTACAGGCTGCTTTCGTGAGCTATGCGCTCTATGCTGGATGCTGCATGTACGGGAGAGATTGTCATTGAGCTGCAGAAAATACCAAAAAGCCAGAGACAGCGGCAAACTTTTTAAGGTACAGCATCTATTCTGCACATGCTTTCCCTCTAAACTTTTATAGGGTAGAGGGTTGTGATGAAGCACTTACATTTCGATTCTTCATTGTCTCATGAGCTATCAAGGTTATGGTATATACTAAGGTGTCTAGTTTCTTCTTATAAGGTACTATCGTTTTTTTGTTTTTCCTTTCCCCAATTGCCACTATATTTTATTCTTTTCAAAAAAATGGCAACTATGATTAGCACACACATGCAGCCATAGATGATGTGAAAATTAAAGGTGTTGATCTTAATTTTGAATATGGCTTTTGATTATTGGGACATTTTTGACCTGCAGGAGGTTGATGACAAATAGGGCTGCAGCTAACGATTATTTTCATAATCGATTTGTTGGTTGATTATTTTTTTCTTTAATTTTTAATAATTATATTAGACATTTTAATAGGTTTCATGGATTTAAAATAATCAGAATTGAAAAACTCCAAGCCAATAAAATAAAATAACCAACCTTTTATTTAAAATGAACACACCAAAAAATAAATTTTATATATATATATATACATACACACACACACATAAAAAACACCCCATTATCCGGCATCCAAGCAACCAGAACTCTCAAGCAACCAGAAAAAAAAATTCGGGGACATGATATGTCCTCAATTTTTTGTGCCAGTTGCTTGATTGTGCACACAAAATTTTTTTGTTAGCAACTAAATTTATTTAGTTGCTAACGAAAATTCTCTGTTTACATCTTGCTGCTGCCGACCGCTAGAGTCCGCAGCTGGCAGGTGAATGTAAACAGGCAGTGGGCGTGTGCAATAGTCAGCCTGCTATTGACTGTGCAATTTGTAATAGCCAATAGCAGAATCTAGCCAGCAGATGAATGAGGTGGGAGGGGGG